ATCGGCTCAAAAAAGTGAAAAAGTCGCACAGTGTACGCCCGGCTTTAGTGATTTTACTCCCAAATAGGGTTAAATATACTTTCCGATAATTGTTGAAAAAAAGACAGTTTTCTTTCCCTAAGTGGATATTATTATTTGAAATAATGGATTAAATCCTCTCACTTTGTGTTTTGTCATTGCCCCTACAGGCCTGTTGGAGCATCCCACCTGTAGGCGCAGAGTCCAGGAGTTCCAAATAAAGTTTATTTTCATCATTTTAAGATGGTCTCGGCTTGGTTATGTTGCGGGTCCACCAATCCTAGTGAGCCTTGCTCAAGGCCCGTAACACTCAGAACAGAAAAACATGGAAACATCTGAAAATATTCCAATATTCCAAAATACTGTAACCATCCCAAAAAGGTTATTGTTGTGGGTCATAAGTGCAGCTGCTCTGATGAGTTTGTTGTGATTAAATGTTTAGAAAGAGCTGCAGCTGCAGGTAAATGTAGCTTTATCTCAGCTTGTGTAAGGAAATAAAGAGGTTATTACATTTTATTTAATGAGCCGTAAGGCGTGGGATTCCATAGTAAATATAAAATCCACCATATGGATCGAGGGCTCTTTAAACCAGAAGATTGGATCATTTTATTGCAGAGATTATGTAACCGTTATGTGTTCACTCAAAGACACATAATAGAGTCGAGTTTAAAAGTTAAGAATTTTATTACTAACAAATTAAACTACTTACTTTTAACTAAATGTATAGTGCAACTAAAAATGGATGAGACGGTGAATGGATGATGTGTGATGTAATCAGAACCAGCAAATCCGAAGAAGCGATTAGTTCTGACGGGAACTGAAGATGTTGTTTTGGAATAACATTTGGTTAGTTTCAGAAACGCATGAGACACCATCAAGTCGGGTCTACCTGCCTTGTGGAAGTCCTCGGTAGATCAGGAATGCCGAGGCCCTTATGGACCCTCTCTGGAAACCAGGCCGGTAGAAGAAGCCGCGGTTCCGACCAGACCCGTCTTGAGTTACCTCCGGCACACGACACGTTATTGGCGTCTGATCAGACCCACCTGGGTCTGTGGAGCTTTTATTCTGAAGGGAGCGGTTGTTGCCGCTGGTTGTTATAGCGACTGGACTTTTCAGCTTGTCGTTGGTTCTTCGGTTAAAGAGTCAAGTCAGGATTGAAGAAGAAGAAGAAAATATCATTTCTATAGCGCCTCTCAAGATAAAAATCACGAGGTGCTTGGCCACTCCGTTGTTTGCTCTGGAACGCTTGAACTGGCGTTAGAGCTGACGTGGCGTAGTTTTATACCTCGCTTGTTATGTTTTATTGTCGAATAAAAATAGCCAATCACCGTCAGAAGCACGCCCTCGTCAGATCTGTAAGATTCTGATTGGATCAGTGACAACAATGTGTTGTCTTTTTAACAGTACGTGAAATGAGTCCTGTTGGAATCCTTAAGTCACAGTACTTATTATTTCTATGGGATCCTAATAAAGTAAAATTTTAATTTCACAGGTCGGTCACATCTTATTAAATTGACTAACACTTTGATGGAATAGCTTTATTAAAATAGAGTTCTTTGATTAATTAAAAGAAAAGAGTTCATTCTTCGTTCTTCATTGCTGGAACGTAAACAGTTTAGAAGCGAATGCATGACCTTGAGGCTGTTTCATGCACTCTGGCACTGTGTCAAAAGGGAACAGTTGTTAGAGGATAGAAATGGCTCCTTCATCACGTTACACTTGAATACTTTAATTAACGACTGCTAAGGGCAAATAGCTGATATGACTCTTTAATGCAGCAGAAATGTTGTTATGAAATTATCTCATCACGTGTTTCTCCTCCAGCGTCCTTCAATCTTCTGGTGCCCAGATCCATTCACTGGGGTTTGTTTTACTGGGGTTTGAGAAAGGCTGTGGCATACTGGGGGCCATTTCTTACCAGAAATAGTATTTATGTTACTAATAATACTGGCTATGTTTACTCCTGTATTCATTTAGACAAAATTTATTTATTTTTAAAGAGGAAAAAAACTTTCAGCACAATTAGTGTGCTTGTTTTTGACCATAAACTTCTAAGCCTGCTCACAACCCAAGGTTTAGAGCTGAAAATGTCTCTTGGATGAGAGTTAATAACCAGAAACATCCAGATGTTTTCCTTAAATCTATTAGGTTGATGGTGTCCAGGATGACTGAGAATCTACACCTACATGCTGAAGCACGACGCATCACTAAAGTCAAAAGGAAAACTGAAACACTTAAATGTAGCTGCTATCAGTAACAATCTAACAGATTTAAATTATTAAAAGTTCTAAACGCTCTAGATACTTCAGGAAAGCAAAAAATATATATATTAGGGCTGCACGATAGGAAAACTTGCGATATTCGATAACAGTGCTTAATATTGCGATATCGATATTACTTGCGATAAATGAACAAATACTAATGCAGTGTTAATGTCGTGTGACGTCTGCTTTGGGTTCAAAGCAAACAAAAACTAATGCATGAATTCCATTACAACGTAACATTTTTATTGAAAGAATATGCAGCTGCACCTGCTACTGTATTAGCAGCAAAACAACACACTGCATGCATCACCACCACCATAAAACTTTTTCTGAAGCTCCAAATATTATGAGCTGCTTAACGACACCGAGCGGACTCACGTTCACGTTTGAAAGCAGCGCTGATTCCAGAAACCTCAGCACAAAGTGCGTTCATTGCTCTGAGCCAGCATAACGAACAAGGGAACGGCGCTGCTAACTCCGATCGGGTGTTGCTTTCCATCCTAAAGGTCTATGTAGGGGGCGGGCGTATTACGTGAAAGGACCCATCTGATTGGCCGCATATCAGAAGGGCTACATTTGATTGGTCAAATAATACTTCCGCGTAAAAAAACAGCTGGTTTACAAAAAGTTGATGTATGACACGGATGGAAATGTTGAACCAAACATTTATCGCTGTGTTTGACGTGCTTTGCGATGGGCCTATCGCACTTCCTGTTATCCCGATGACGATAATTTTTCGATATATTGTGCAGCCCTAAAATATATATATATCACAACTTTGTGTTGTGAGATTTATTATCATTAACATTATTATTACATGACAACGTAACCTGCGCCCACCTCGGCTGAAGACCCCCTGGACGCAACTATGACAGGACACAGCGAAGAAGAGACGCTGGAAAAGGAGAACTACTTCAATCACTTGCACCCAATCTCCAACCTGGTTTCACGGTCAAAGGATCAGAAGGACTTTCGGGGACAAGATCAGCTCCCTGACAGGTGGACAACCACCTCAACACGCCATGGAAGGACCCAGACGTCTCCCTACTGAGAAGTTGAACTGTGTGCTCTCACATCCCAAACTCCATTCTTGCATTCCAGACCTGGACTTCAAGGAACTCATCAACTTAAGACTGAAACCATCCTGATCAACGGACGAGGACTCTAACCATTCCAAACGTTCTTCAACCGGGACTCTCAGTACACGGACAAGCCCTTTGATGAAGAACGCCTGGTTTGCCTCAGCTTCTGCCATAGTTAGAGCTGCATGAATTGATACTACCTGTTCCTCATTCACAGAAACAGCCGTGTGCGACCTGTAGCTTTAAATTCATCTGATGTTTCAATAAACTCTACTGATGTTTTCTGTGTATTATATGGTCTTGCTAATCCTTCCCAATCTCTTTACAGGAACTGCTCTAAATTGTAGAATTGTTGCATCACAGTAAATTCACATCAACATGTATGAAATAGCTCTTCTTTAGTTTATGATGGTGTTGATTTCACTGATTTCCATTATCTCACTTGTGTCTCTGTAAGCTGCTGTTTGTTATTGTCAGTTGTGTTTTATTTATTTGTTCTGTATTATTTTACTTTTTTTTGTTTGGTTATCCTATTCGGATAAACAGGAGGGATTATGTTATGGAAATGTTATGTTTATTATTAACTGAATGTATTATTCTATGTCTAAAAGCACACACACACACACACACACACACACACACACACACACACACACACACACACACACACACACACACACACACACACACACACACACACACACACACACTTATCTTTGTTATAAATAAACTCTGAGAGCAGAAACTCGGGGCAGTTGCCTTGAGCTTCTGCCCCTGATTGCAGTTTGGTGACTTGTCTGCTTGTTGTCTCTCCTCTCTCTCCAGCTGCAGGTATTGGGTTATTGATAAAATCCCTAACAGTCATGTAATCATTAGTTTAGAAATATAGAATTAAACTAATTTTTATAAACTATGTTCTTGACTGTGTCTGAACTAATATGAAGTGTGTGTTCCTAAGGTCGTATTAAATCAAATATTCAAAGACCAATAAGATTGATCATTTATAATTAGACGGAATATCACATCTTATTGATCATTCAGTAAAAGTAACCACTTCCATCACGTTACACCATCAGCATGGCTCTACACTTCATCCTGCAGCATCTGGACTCCTGGGTACCTACACCAGGATCCTGCCAGAAGCAGAAACAGCTGGAGTTAGCAGGTCAGATCCACGGTGTGTAAAGTCCACTCATGGAGGGAACAGGAAGGGAAACCACTGAAGAACCAGGATAAACAGACCCGAGGAAACATGGACGGAGACACAGCGCTGCCCCGTGGCCAGGCGGGAATGTGGAAACGGACCTGTGGCTATTCCAAACACAGGCGCCATCTTGTTAGCGTCCAGAAGCAGAGTATGGGTGGGATGAGGCTGGCCCATACTCTGGAACAGCAGCTGCTATGTGTGGACTCTCATGTGATTTGTTTATTTACATTTGTAGTAAACCTTTCTCCACACTCATCATGACTAAATGATTTAGGTTTCTTCTGGACTTTCCTGCACGAGTCTACATGTTGCTTCACTCTAACACATTTCTTATGAACCAAACAGCCTGAAGACCTTATTGCTGGATGACTTGTCTCCCTCACGTGTCTCTGGAGAGACCACTTGTGAAGAACTTGTTGACAGACTTACCATCTGACTCAGAAGACCTGCTCTCATTCCAGTCATCATCTTCATCTCCAGTTTCAGACCCAGAGTCTGACAGCTCAGAGTCCAGATTCACACCATCATCATCATCATCTTCATCATCTCCACTAACTTCAGTCTCTGAAGAATCAGATGTTTGTTCATGAGGGTTCAGATCTGGGTTCCTGCTAGTTCCTGCTCCTCCACCAGTTTCTGCTGCCATCTGGTCAGCTGAGCTGCTGGTTGGAACATCTCTGTCTTCTATTTGCTGCTGATGAAGCTGTGAGACCAGAGGTTTCTCTTCATCATCCTCACTCTTTATAGGAACAGCAGTAACAGGAAACCCGACAGCTTCAGTCTCCTCCTTCAAACAGAGATGCTCTCCCTCCAGACTGGTCCAGAGCTCCTCCTGTTCCTCCTTTATGTGGAGGTGTTCTGGGTCCTGCTGGTCCACACCAGCACTCTGTTCTTCAGGAGCTTCTTCTTTAACCAGCACCAGCTGTGGAACATCTGTAGGAAACACAGACACATGATGTTACAGACCACCATACCTTTATATGTACACCATGAGTGATACTGGCTACATGATGTGGGAAAAAGGAACAAGAACATGAACTTCATTTAGATAAAAACAGATTTCTACTTTAGGAACAATAAAAACTTCCATCACAATCAGCGTGTTTGTTTCTGACCAGAACTTCTAAGCCTCCTACTCACAACCCAAGCTTTAGATCTGAAGCTTATGTGAGGAGAAACGTCTCCAAGATAAAATCAGCAACTATTCAGTCTAAAGGAAAATGAATAAACACTTAGATGTAGCTGCTGTCAGTAACAATCTTTCACTTTTAAGCTCTCAGCAGGCTAGAGCACTACAAAGCAAAGGAATCTTACTAATTAGAATTTTGGGAGATTTAGTGTTATTATTATTATTAGTAGTAGTAGTGGGTTACTTGAGCCCTTTTCAGACAGACATTCTGGAACATTTGCGGACAATTCAATCCGGTTTTTGACCGGAACTGTGTTTTCAGACACAACACTTTTGTACCGGAACTTGTCCTTTCGGCTGCGTTCACACAGCAGGGAAAAGTTCCAGATGTCTGACGGCGGCGGGGGTGGTGGTGTGGGGTGTAGGATCGGACTTATGTTAAGAAGAAGAAGAAAATATCATTTCTATAGCGCCTCTCAAGATAAAAATCACGAGGTGCTTAAGCATAATTCTGCGCACACGAAGACGCATAAGAGACCTGGATGATGAAGCTCAATGGTTAAAGGAATCACTGAAGTGGTGTGATGCGCTCCGTCGCGCGTCTAGACGGTACCGTTGGAGGTGAGCTGCCATGGTTCGCCGCATGCTACAGCAGCGGGCTATCTAGGTGCGCACAGCGTCCCCCGGTCCCCTCCTCCTCCCCCTCCCCCTTGTCTGGAACTCTACCTGACCAGTCTGAAGGAGCCACTCTGTCCGTAACAAGTCCGGACCTGTTGGGGCTTCGTCCGGTAAAATTCCGGAACACCTTCTTCGGATGTTTGTATTCATACACAAAGGTCTTACGGACAGAGTCCGGAACATTTCCATTTTTCATGGCCTGTCTGAAGGGGGCTTTGGTGACTGAGCAGTGGGCGGAGCCTGTTGTTTTCTACTCATTGGATTATTTTTCAGCGTTTTATTGAGATTCCTTTCGTGACCTCGGTCTGGGACACGTGCTGTATGAATAAACTTGGTTCTTCTTCCACCACAGAGAAAGGCTGCTCTTCCAGCATCATGAACTTCCTTATGGTCCGGTTATTAGCCGAGCCTTCTGACGCTCATACAGACGGGTGTTGGTGAGCGTAGCTGCGTCTGACTGGGAGGTGTTTATCTCTGCAGCCATCCCTGGAAACTCACCTCACTCCACCCAGACTTTGTTCTTTACGTCGTATTAAACCAGCTGTAATCAGCTTCCCCAGGAGCTGAAGCTTTTCATTGCAGGACTCAAAGCTTACATCACTCTCGCAGACGGAGTTAAAGTTAGGCGGACATGTTGTTTTACATTGTTGCTGCTGTCCTGCACAGCATGAAGGAAAAGGGGAAGAACCCCAAGTGCTGCACACAGGGTTCACACAGGTGTTGCTGGTATGATCAGAACATCCCAAACTAACACCAACGTAGATACACAATAAACAACTTGTATTAAGTACTGATGAGCTATCTGCAGTGGAACAGGACCAGCTGGCATCCTCACACCAAAAGGAGGAACGGGTGTCTTTTATAAACCAGCCAGGCACTAACTGGTGTGTTTCCATTACCGAAACTTCCCAGTATGACCGTCTCCACTTCACCGGAGCCAGCCGAACCGGTCGTTTTCCAGACCTTTTGAGAGTCTTTGCAGGTTCTGTGGCCTCACCCAGATCACCCGCGGGCAAACCGAGTTCTAACCAGAAGCATCTGTCAGCATTCATTCTGGACAGTTTTACTTATTTATGCTTCTTTGTGAGAAATGTCCTCATGTCCCCATGTCTGTGGAGGGATCAGACATGGACACTGCTTATTATGGGATAGTAATGGCACTGACTCCTCCTCCAGCTTCGACAAGCCTGTAGTTTCACTTTGGTTCGTTCAATCTTTTATTTTCTAACTTTGTTGACAACCATGTCGGTCACGTCCACCATGCGTGCAGCAGAGCAACCAGGAAAACGTGGAACGGACTTCAGCAGACGGAGTCATTTCTAATGAATCAAGTGGAATGGATTTTTTTGAGAACAATCGAAAGAGCAAAAGGTGAACTAAATGTGTGTGTGTGTGTGTGTGGTCCAAATGCATACTTTTAAAAAGTGGGAGGGGCATTCCCTTCTGACATAATGGTTGTGACATCTATGAACCACCTCCACTCAGTCAGCCAATTCAGTAGTTTGTTCGTAGTTTAACTCTTGATCAGGGATTGAAGCAAAAACTTCTCATCTGACTGAAAATTATTTTGTGTGTGTGTGTGTGGGGGGGGGGGGGGGGGGCTCACATTGTTTACACACAGCCAAAATTTGGGTTTTGATTGGTTTTAAGGTCAATATTCTTGTTTCTGAAAAACTTGGAATAACCCGTTCACACACACAGTGTTTAAAAGTGCGGGTGTTGAGATTTCTCTAATGTTCTGATTTTACTGAAAAACTGGTTCTGTAATAGTTCCTTTACTATTGTGATCAAAACTATTTAATCTCAATTCTGAGGCTGCTCTGTAAATAGTTTTCAAATAAACAATACACATAGCACCTTCTGATCAATCCATATCAATTTCAGATTTAAAATAATGAATTGATGTACACTACACCCACTAATTTCCAAATAATAAATAAGAGGTGCATTCATCTGTGTATGTCCTTTGATCTGCATTAGTGATGTTTTCAGCACCAGAACAATGAAGCAAAGAAACAGATTCCTGAGTTTATGTTAGTAATTTTATTTATTAGGTGCATCTGATCTGTTCTACTTTTCTCTGAAATGAGATCAAATCAGTGCTTCTATGGGTTGTCTCCTCTCTGCACTAGAAACATGTACTTTATTATAATGTTCACTGTAATGCATCTTGATGTTCTTAATGTAGCATTATGAAACGCATGCCCCAATTTTATTGGTTTAGAGCAGTACGCCCTCCGTACATAGGAGGGCGCTGCTGCTATAAAAGGGGAGCTCTTCCGGTAAGGAAGTAGGTTCGGGAAACAGCTGGTGCCATTATGCCGCTGCGCTTTGGTGCTGCCAGCCCGTGTCCTCAGGCTGCGTTTATGGTGCGATCGGCTCTGCTTCAACCGTGGTATGTACCTGGATGGCTACTCTGTTTAGCGCTAGGGCTACTGTGTCTCAGTCTGTGTTGTGCGCTTTGCAGCTTGGGCATTTGGGTCAGTGTTGGGTGTGATGTCATCGCTTGCCTACTGAATCCTCGTTGCTTCTGGGCAGAGTTCCCTTCTGTTCAGGCGTTACTAGCGGGAGGACCGGTAGGTGTGTGCTGCTCCGTCCCCACACTTGGCCATTTGTTTGTTGGGTAATTTTCTGCCTCTTCCATGTCCTTTTAGATACTTCCGTGGTCCGGCCGGAGGCGCCGCTGTTTCGTCTTGTTTCTCTTTACCACATTTTAAATCAGCTGGTTGAAGGAAGTTCCCCTGGCTCCTGGCTGGAGTCCAGGAGGAGGAACAGCTGATCAACGTCGTACAGATTTTATACAGTTCTCTTTTAATATTGTTTTCTTTGTGCAGGCTGAGGCAGGAGGTGTGGGGTGTGGCCTCGGAGGTGGTGGTCCCGTGTGCGAGTGTGGTGGTGCTGGGTTCTCACGTTGGTATGAACGCTCACTGCCGGGGGTGAATTCTTGATATTTATTTTTTATTTTTGCTGGTTGGGGCTTCTCTGCCCCGAGTCACCCGCCTCCATCACTAGACTCAGTCCTGCTTGTCAACATATTTTTGTTTGGTTTAAATTCATTTGGTTCTGTCCTTGTTGTCAATAATTTTAGCATTTTTATATTTTACATGGCCAGTTTTTAAAATGTCTTTTAAACTGTTTCTTCTATAAAATAAAATAAATTCATTGTAACTTCTGAAACCACGTCTACTGTCAAGTGGAATGAATCTACATGCTTTAATTCCTTAGGTGAAAGTCCCAAAGTGGCGTTGTTAACTAAATTACACTCGAGCAGATACAATTGCCATCCTTGGCGTCAACAGGTCATAGACCACTCCTGTATTGCCACATTAACAATAAATTGAATCAAAGATATTGGTCAATAATGTCAAATATATAAATTTGTGTTTCAGTCATTTTTATACTGGCTTAAAAATACTTCATTAAGTCTACTAAGCAGGGGTGTAGAACGTGTTTAATAGGGCCAGCCCAGTAATGATCTTGGACCTAAATAAAGGGGGCAGAAGGAGATGTTTTTCCAGACGCCAAGAAAATTAAATACCAATGAAGTGGATTGGAGTCCTGGATTCTCTCCGGATGGAGATGGCGAGCCTGTGCCCGAACTGAACTGAATCCCGATCAGGAGAACATCATTCTTCTATACTGAGCCAACATTCCAGTGGTAACCACTCAGACCACTGAACCTGAGTTTTACAAGACCGAGGAGACTTTCTTTTTGACTAGACTACGACCAAATAGAAGACTGACTTTGAGCTCAACCTGACTAGGTTTACTGATATAGGGGGAAAGGCCTAATTGTTTAATTATATGTCTATTGCAGCTGCTGTATTTTTTGTTCTATTTTCATATTTCTATATAAAATTCCAAATCTGGTGCAACTGTGTTCTTTTGCTCATTCTTTGGATCCAGCTATTCCATTTCCCACTCACTGGTCATTTGTAAGGTAATCCTGTTGGACCTAGAGTCTGGCCTATTTATTATTATTTTTTGAATAAGTGGTAACTTAATCTGACGCCAGGGTTACAACAGACTGACAATATATTCATTCATCCACCAGTACCTGTGTCCATGCTGTCCAGGTCCAGGTGGTGAAGAACACACGATGAATCAGTCCCAGCTGATGGATGATCCTGAAGTGGTAGCAGGTTTTCTTTAGCCGTGTTTAGCTAACAGCTGCAATAGAATCAAAGCAGGAGAGCTGATTAAGATGCTGCTTCAGAACAACGCAGGAGATTAAAGATCCAACGCTTTGGTTCTGGCCAAAGGAACAGCAGCAGATCCAGAGGGCAGGAAGTCTAGAGAAAAGCTTTTCTCACCCACAACCTGATTCTGGAGCTCCGATTGTCACGAAGACCGCAGAATATCTTCTCTGGTTCTGGAAAGAACTCCACCAAGTTGTTGAGGAGGAGAAGAAAGTTTCCACAGCCTGGTGAGAGGAT